TCCCTGGCTCCCCACACGGGCCCCCAACACAGCACAGCAGAGGTTCCTCTGAACTTCCAGCCCTTTCCGCTCAGAACTGAGACAAGGGGCGCCTCTCCGAAGTGGGGGCCCTCCTCCTCAGCGGGCAGGAACCTGAGAGAAGTTCTCGGGCTTCTCCGCTTCCAGAAATGGTGGCCGTCTCCGTGACGGGCGTGACGTAAACACGCACAGTCACCAAAGCACCTCGCAGGGCCCGAGGCGGCGTGTCTGGGTGGAGACGGCGGACAGACGGGCCGGTCGGCCTGCCCCGCACACTCCTTCTCTGTCCCTTTCCTCTGTCCTCGTCGAGCCAGACGGGGGACAGACGAGGTCCGGCTGGTGGGGACGGTGCGTCCGGAGCACACGCCTTCCAGCCCCGTGTGGGCAACCAGAGGAGAGGCGGTGTCTGGTCCGTTGCTGGGCCCTGGACGTGGAGGGCGTGGTGGACGGTGACATGTCGCCCACCCGGCCCACAGCGAAGTCACCCGACGTTTTCTCCACAGCCGTCCCCGGGAGCCCCAGACCCGTGAGTCAGGCGAGGGTTTGAATCTCAGCCTTGTGCGTTGGGGCGAGTTCTTAACGTGTGGACAGCAGTTTTGTCCTGTCTGCTGGGCTTACGGCTTCCCGACCAGAGGGTTATATAAGCGGACGCCTGTCAGGCGCCTCGCAAGGATCCTGATCTATGGTACGTGAGGTTTTATAAAAAACGTGTGTGTCTGTGTCTGTGTGCCTGTAAACTAGCTCATTTATTGTCTGTTTCACTCACTGGAACACGTGGTACAAAGGGCAGACAATGTTGAGTTCACCATTCTATTCCCGGCGTCTGGAACAGTCCTCGGCACAGAGGTGTTCCTTAATGGCCTGATCAATTAGTCAGATTCGGTCCAACAGCACTTGGGTTGTCGGTCCATCTCCCTTTGCCCCACGCACCTCAGAAGCTGCTCGTGGAGGCTGGAAGGGAGGGTCACACGCCAGCGTTTCCGTGGTGTTGGACAGCGCCAGCTGGCTTCTGCGCAGGCGGGCCGCGGCAAGTCTTCCAGCACCGTCTAATGAGGGTCTTCTGGGAGGACAGTCATTTAGCAGCCACAGTTGATGATGAATAAATACTTCATGTTCCAAGTCCTGAGGTCATCTAGCCTGAACATGGGAGACAGCTTGGAGGGCTGTGGGGGCCTTTTGGGAACCGCATATGTAATTTGCAGCAACATCCCACGGCCCAGAACTTAATCCTGTGGCCCCACCTAACTGTAGGGGAGGCTGGAAATAGAATTTAGCTGTGTTCCCTGGAGGAACTGTAACAACAGACTGATAGATGATCTTTAATCCTTAAAAATCCCTGAGAGATCAGTACTCTGTCCCCATCAAGAGATTTAAAAACTCAGACCCTGCCCTGGCCGGTTTGGCTCAGCTGTTAGAGTGTCGGCCTGCGGTCCAGAGAGACCCAGGTTCGGTTCCCGCTAAGGGCATGTACCTCAGTTGCAGTTTGTCCCCGGCCCTGGTCGGTCGTGCGGGTGGCAGCCACTTGATGTGTCCCTTCACATCGATGTTTCTCTCTCTCTCTCTGTTCCTCTCTCTTCCTCCCACTCTACCTGAACAGAAAATGGAAAAATGTCCTCGGGTGAGGATAAAAAACAAAAACAAACAAACAAAAAAACCTCAGACCCTGAGAGAGGTTGAGCCACATGACCAAGATCAGACAGCTAATGATTACGTGGCAAATCCTGGGCTTCCTCTGGGGGGCCTGGGATTCTCCCATCGTTTGCTGTGTTAGAAATTCCAGACAGTATCCATCATTTAGATGAGGCTGACTTTCTCGTGATTTTATCTGTGCTTACACCTCAGTTAAGAGTGGCTATAGGCCTTGGACTTGAATATTTGTAATACATTTGCTAACATACTGTGAGTTTTTTTTTTTAGAGTTTGGTCCTGTTCGCTCTAAGTGTCATCTTCGATCTTACCAACCAGTATTTCAAAATATAACAAAAAATCGGGAGGAGGGTGTCTAGGCGGGAAAAAGCAGAAACATCTGTAACAAAAATAAATTAATAAAAATTGCAAAAAAATAAACGAGTTTTGTTGCCCTAACCAGTTTGGCTCAGCGGTTTGAGTGTTGGCCCGCACGCTGAAGCTACAGCTTCGGTCTCGGGTTTGATTCCCAGTCAAGGGCAGGGCACGTACTTGGGTTGCAGGTTTGACCCCTGGCCCTGGTCGGGGTCATGCGGGCGGCAACCAACTAACGTGTCTCTCACATCGATGTTTCTCTCTCTCTCCCCACACCTCTCCTTTCCACTCTCTCTAAAAATCAGTGGGGAAAATATCCTCGGGTGAGGATTTACAACAACAAAAGAAGAGTTTTGTTATTTTTATTATTAAAAAGTACTGCATTCAATAATAAAGATAATGAAACAATTATTATGTATTATTTTATAGAATTGTGATAACTGGGTTCTTTTCGATATAAATGTGTATGCAGAGGAGATGTTTAAAATGGTGTCTCTCACTATCACCATCACACTCAAAGGCGTAAAGAATTCGACCTCAGCGAATGTACCGATGGGACCTTCCACAGCTACTAGGCGCTCCGCCGGCCGGCACCCCTCGGCACCTCTGCTCACCGCGGACTGACCGACTGACCGTCCCTCGGAGCTGCCCAGGACTCCCCTCCCCACAAGCCGCTAGACCTTTTGGAACAGGGAATGCAGCGACATGTTCAAAAATAGAAAAGGAAACAGGAAGGGTCCCGGCGATGTCTGATCCCACCCCGTCTGCCCCCCTCAGCGCACCATCCCCACTCTGCGGCAGAGGGGTGACATGGGCTCACACGGCTAGGCAGCGTGCTTTCTCCTGCTCAGTTGCCCCAGAGACCTTTCCCATCAGCATCCGCACGCTCGTGATGGGCACCTTCTCCAGCGTGCCGTGTACCTCGGTGCGCCCAGCTGGTCTCCTAGCTGCTGCTACAAATCAGGTTGCAGTTGGTAATCTCCTTCATGCCACACAGGTAGCTCTGAAGTGGGTCGTCCGGCTCAAAGGGTAAATTCGTTTGTAATGTTGGTATTGCCAAATGTCCCTTCAGAGGGTGGCACAGCAGTCTCCATTCCCGTCAGGGAGGCCTTTGCTGCCACCCTTTCTGGAACGGTGACCTCTCCACCTGCCCCCATCACGTTCTACTTCTTGGCCCTGTTGTATTTTTCTCCGTGGCCTTTATCAGTACCTGGCTGACAGGGTATATATTTATTTTGTATATACTGATTCTTTTTTTTTAAATGGTTTTTTAAATTGATTTCAGAGAGAGGAGGGGAGAGGGAGAGAGAGATAGAAACATTGATGAGATAGAACATCAATCAGCTGCCTCCTGCACTCCCCATACTGGGGATGGAGCCCACAACCCAGGCGTGTGCCCTGATTGGGGACCTGTGACCTCCTGGTCACAGGGGACAACACTCAACCAAGCCAGGCCTGGCTATACTGATTCTTTTTTTAAAAATCTTCACCGAGGATATTTTTCTGTTTATCTTAAGATAGAGCAGGAGGGAGAGAGAGAAACATCGATGAGAGAGACACATTGACTGGTTGCCTCCTGCACGACCCCAACCGGGGCTGAGGATGAACTGCAACCAAGGTACGTGCTCTTGGTCGGAATCGAACCTGGGACTCTTTGGTCTGAGGGCTGACACTCTAACCGCTGAGCCAGACCTGCCAGGGCCATACTGATTCTTTGTGATTGCTGCTTGTCTTCCCAGAATGAGACCCAGCCCTGAGGACAGAGCCCACTGGCACGGGTGACACTCTGTGTTTACTGGACATAAGTGGTTGAACAGGAAGCTTTTCATTGTCTTTAACCTGAAGTGACAAGAAGCCCCTGAGTGACTGCTCACACTGTACATGGGAGACCTTGAGGTGTCCAGGGTCAGCCAGGAACTTGGCTACAGCTTCCCGGCTGACTTCCTGCCTGACGCCTACAGAACGCGCTCCAGTTCCCGTGACTGCACCAAGGAGTCTGCAGTCACACCGAAGGTGCACACCTATCTCGTGAGCTCTGTTGCAGCAATCCTGGGGACACCATTTAGGAAGAGAAAAGTATAAACGGGCCCTTTGTCGCCATTGGTTTGAATTTATTTAGTTTTCCCAATAACTAAAATAAGTAAAAGTAACAAAACATGCCAACTGTCATCTGGTTTGTTTGCTTTTTCGAGTGCTTCAGCCGTGGTTGGTGTTTCCGTCCGCGTGACACTCTGTCTCCCGCGCCCCAGCAGCATTGTGTTCGGTCCCTTCCAACTACTCAGCCACCCGAGGAATGTCCTTGGAGCGCACCCCGGGCCCTGCGCTGGCCCCCTCCTGTCACTTCAGGGCTGAGTGGAAGGGTCCATCTCTGGACCACAGGTGTAACCACCGTGCGTCCTGGTCTGGGTCACCGATGTGTGGGTTTAGAAGCCTGAAGGTAGCACCTTGTTCCAGAATATTCCTCTTCTCCCTGCTCCGATGACAAACCGTGGACTCTCCCCTCCTCTCTTCCCTAAAGAAGCCCTGAAAGACACAGCGTCACACTGAGCAGGCAGGAGGTTAGAAGCTTCTGGACATTCCACTCGGTGGTTACGGTCACCCGTATTCCACCTCCCGGTTCGGTTCCCGGGCAGAACCCTGCAGACGAAGCTGTCCTCAGCCAGGCGCTGGCTGACCAGTTCAGACTGGGGCCTCCTTTCCGGGCCTGCGGGGATGAAGACGGGAGCGAGTGGGCTGGGGAAGGTGGGCCTCGCTTTCCCTGGACTGGAATGAACTTTAAAACTTCTGTGCTGATCAAACACCGTGCCCCACACTTTGCTTAACCCCGGCCGCTGGTCGTCAGCCTTTGACCTCAGTCCTCCTCGCCGACCAGCCCTCCCCCACCCGAGCTCTGGAACCTCAAACTTAGAGGGCAGACAGTTCCCAGAGGGACTGCCTCGGATCACACCATCTCCACCTGCCCGTGGGGAAGGTTCGCGACCATGTTTCCCGACGGGGTAGGAGCTGGAGGCGCCGGGAGAAGGTGAGAGGGGCGGGCTTTCCCTGTGCTCGTCCTCGCTGGGTTTCTGACCTCTGAGGGACCCACGGCTGACCTCCACACCTTGGAGAACACCAGGCCCTCTCCCTGGTGGTCAGTCAGACAGCTTGTTTGCAGGACGTCGCTCCAAGTGCCCTCCCTCCACCCCCCTTGGGCTAAGACCTTTCCCCAAGCCCCACCTTGGGTTCTTAGCCCGAGAACAAAGGGGCATCCTTCTGCCCTGACCCTGACCCTACGCCAGCACTCCCAGCCTCCAGGAGACCCCGGGTTTGGCCTGCTATGCCTCCGAAAGGGTGTGCATTGAATCTGTGGGGACCTCCCGCTCCCTTTCTGCTCTTCCTTTGGCTCGGTCACCCCTCCAAGCTCTCGGTGACCTTTGCCGGCAGCCTGTCCTCAGTCCTCACGGTGAGTCTCCCTCCACCCCACGCACAGTCCCTCCTCGCTCTGGTCGCAGTAGGAAGCCAGTCCTGAGGCTGGGGCTCCACCTTCTGGGTTTTGCTGTGTGTTGAACGGTGCCCCCGGGCCTCAGCCGCCACTTGTATTTGCAAATGTCGCTGAGAGACAAAGTGGGAAAGAGAAGCAACCGGAGAGGAGATGGATGTCCAGATGCTCCGCTTCTCCCCCCGCCTCCCCCTCGTCGCTCCCCCTCCGGGCCTTTCTTTCGAACAGCGGTGAGGTCGGCCTCAGACCCACGAGGAGGACCCTCGCTGCCCCCAGCTTCCTGCCAGCCCCAGGCGTGCCCAGCAGACCCTTCCTGCCCTGCCTGCCTGTCTCCTTCTGCCAGGGGAGACTGAGAAGACTCGGTCCCCCATACAGATGCCCCGTTCCAGACCCAGGCCCCGGGTCAGCCGGAGGAGGCCCTGGCCCACTGCCTTGTCTGCAAAATACCACGAGAGTTTCTCTCTGCTCATTTGGGTGTCCCGATTCTAACTTGCCAATCCTGGGATCTCATTTTTTTATTATTTTATTTAAAAAATTTTTTTTCCTGTATTGATTTTAGAGAGAGAGAGGAAGGGAGAGGGAGAGAGAGATAGAAACATCGATGAGAGAGAACATTGACTGGCCGCCTCCTGCAAGCCCCCCATTGGGGATCGGGCCCACAACCCAATGGGCATGTGTACTGACCGGGAATCGAACTGGCGACCTCTTGGTGCATGGGTCAACGCTCAACCACTGCGTCGTACCGGCTAGGCTTATTTTATTTTTTAATACTCACCCAAGAACATTTTTCCATTGATTTTCAGATAGAGTGGGAGGGTGGGAGGGGGGGGAGAGGGAGAGGGAGGGGGGGGAGAGAGAGAGAGAGAGAGAGAGAGAGAGAGAGAGAGAGAGAGAGAGATTGGTTGCCTCCCTCAGGGATTAAACTGAAACCGAGATACATGCCCTTGATCAGAATCAAACCCGCGACTCTTTGGTCCATAGGACAATGCTCTAACCGCTGAGCCAAACCGGCCAGGGCTCTCTCATTTGTTAAAAAGTGACATTAGTTTCATATACCTTTAGTGAATCCATGTTGGAAACTATTAAGGTTTCCAGGCAACAGAAAGTGAGGAGCCTGGACCAAGGTGATGAGAGAGCAAGAAGAAGAATCAATCAAATCTAGGTCTGACCAACGAGGAGGGCGAGAGGGAGGAATCAGGGTGACTGAATCCCAGGTCTCGGGACTGGACCACAGGGTGTGTGAGGGTCCCATCCGCGGAGTGGGAGGCCTCGGAGGGAGAAGCAGGTGTGTGGGGTCGAATTTCACTCAGGAACGAGCAGGATTCCGGTGCGACTGTCCAGCAAACCCTGGGGCGGAGGTGCCACGTGGGAGCCCTTAGCGCACAGAGAGCGCACTGGCCCGCTCGCTCCTCCGCGCCCCTCTGTGTGACTGAATGCCCTTCCAGCCTTTTGCCATCCAGCTTAAATTCCGTCCATTTCTGGGGTCCTCCCTACACAGCTCTGTAAGTGTCTCCTGCTGCTGCCCTCGCTCTTCGCTGGGCAGGCAAGAGTCCCGCCCACTCTTCCCCGCGTGCCCATCCCGTCTTCCCGCGTGCCCATCCCGTCTCACGACCGGAAGCTCCTGTCCTTGCTTCTCCCGCATGGGGCCTGGGCACGTGGCGCTGCTGGGAGCTGTCAGTCACCTCAGTGGCTGATTCCCACTTCAACAGGAACTAGCCGCTGCAAGGCGTCCAGGACTGCACTCGTCCCGGGTCCTTGTCCTTTACAGAGTCCGAGGTCACACAGTGCATCCTGTGCCTTCCTGGGGCACGTCCATGACGGGGGGTGGGGTCGGGGGTCTCCCGCCTTGTTAACTGAGCTCTTTGCCCCTGCAGGAGGGCATGTCTTCTCTCCCTGCTGCTCGTTGGCCTCTGGGGCCCCGTGGCGTGTCGCCGGAGCCCCGTGGAGGACATCTGCACAGCCAAGCCTCGGGACATTCCTGTGAATCCCATGTGCATTTACCGCTCCCCAGAGAAGAAGGCGCCCGAGGAGGAGGGCTCCCACCAGAAGGTCCCCGAGGCCACCAACCGGCGGGTCTGGGAACTGTCCAAGGCCAATTCCCGCTTTGCCACCGCCTTCTATCAGCACCTGGCAGACTCCAAGCATTACAATGACAACATTTTCCTGTCGCCCCTGAGCATCTCCACAGCCTTTGCTATGACCAAGCTGGGAGCCTGTGACAACACCCTCAAGGAGCTGATGGAGGTACCGTCCACGGCCTCTGCCCCGCTCGCTCGCCTTGGTCTGGAGCTCTCCAGAGGCGTTAGGTGCCGTCCCGTCTCTTCCTTTCCCCTTCTGTCCTTCTCTCTGCGTTCATTCAGAAAGCGAGCTGAGCTTTGACGCTGTGCCCGGCACAGTACCCGAAGCTCACGCCGAGGTGGCCTTGGTCAGGGGCTGACGGCACCCAGCTCACCACCCGGGGCAGCCAGGCTGGCCAGCCAGACCCACCACCATTTTCTCTTGGCTTCTACAGGTTTTTAAGTTTGATACCATCTCTGAGAAAACGTCGGACCAGGTCCACTTTTTCTTTGCCAAACTGAACTGCCGACTGTACCGAAAAGCCAATAAGTCCTCCGAGTTGGTATCAGCCAACCGCCTGTTTGGAGACAAATCCCTTACTTTCAATGAGACCTACCAGGACATCAGCGAGTTGGTCTATGGGGCGAAGCTCCAGCCCCTGGACTTCAAGGTGGGTCACACCCGTCATCCCTGACCTCGGGGTCCTTCCTCTCCACTCAGAGATGGAGCTAGAGAAGCAGGACCCCACTAACACTGCGGGGCTAGCTGAAGGCCGATGGGGGGCTGTGAGCCAGAGCCCTGGAGCAGTCACTCTTGCTTAAAACCTGAGACGCAATGGTGTCTACGGATTCTAGTGGAGACTCTGAACAAGTTGTGCAAATAATACAATCTCCCTTTCCTCTACCAAAGTCACATATACCTCTCAGGCTGTTCTGGAGGGTCCTACCAGACACCTTATTTAATTCAATGTTTTAAAGTTACCATGGTCAAATAAAGTTGGCATAGGGTGTGTGTGAAGTTCTCCTCTTGGAGATTCATGAAACACCTGGACTTATGAAGGGTCTGAGAAGTCCTGCAACCAAGAAGTCTATTGACTTGAATTCGAGCAGCATTTCTCAGCCTTTTTTTGACCGTGTGAACTTCCTGCCTGCCCCGTCCTCACCTCCATCGTCACTCAGTAGCTCCCCACAGAACACGTTTTGGAGACCCGAACCGTGTGAGTTCGTGGCACTGTGTTGGGTATGTGAGGTCTCCCCAGTCGGGGTTAGAGTGATGGCTCACCTCCGTGGTGGGAAGGCAGAGGGATACAGAAAATGCTGCCCAGGGAAAGGGAGAAGACGCTGAGTAGCTCAGGGGGCAGAGTTGTCTCTTGTTCTCCTTAGGGAAATGCAGAGTCATCCAGAATGACCATCAACCAGTGGGTATCCAATAAGACCGAAGGGCGGATCACTGACGTCATTCCCCAGGATGCTATTAACGAGTTCACTGTCCTGGTGCTGGTCAACACCATTTACTTCAAGGTACTAACCCCTGACTTTGCACAGGCCCTGGGATTTGACCTTGCAGATGGCCTTGTCTGTCTCAAGAGTTAAGAGTGCTCGAGATTCTTCCCAGTTAATTACGTTAGGGAGGAGGATGAGGCAAGGGTGGTAGGGATGAACAGCTCAAGGCACACTCGGGGTTACCCAGTGAAGGCAGGTGGAACTGTGGCACATCTGCCCATCCTGGGTCCTGCTCCATGTGCTCTCCCTTCCTCCACAAGGCCCGGGGGTTCGGCCAGTCATTGCCGTGCCAGCCACTCTGCTGCTGGGGGTTCCCTCTCTCCAAGAGAGGAGAGGGTTGAGTTTCCATGCTGTCTACTGTTCTTGACAGATTGCAGGACACTTGGCCACTCATTAGCCTTCCTATCCTCCTAACATCACAAATGAGACCTTGGGCAGATGACAGTGTAAATCCACTCTTCTGTCTCTGACTGCATGAACTTGGCCTAGCTACCTGAGACCTTTGTCTGCCCCAATTTCTGCATCTGTAAGATGGTGGTAGTGCCCTGGCGGTTAGAGCGTCGGCCTGCGGTCCAGAGAGACCCGGGTTCGGTTCCCGTAAGGGCACCTACCTTGGTTGCAGTTTGTTCCCGGCCCTGGTTGGTCATGTGGGTGGCAGCCACTCGATGTGTCCCTTTCACGTCGATGTTTCTCTCTCTCTTCCTCTCTTTCCCTCCCACTCTATCTGAACAAAAAATGGAAAAATGTCCTCGGGTGAGGATGAAAAAAAAAAAAAAAAAGATGGTAGTAACACGCCTACCTCACAGGGTCCTGAGTGGGCTAATGCCTGGAGCCGTGCCCTGCGCACAGTGAGCGCCTACAACACGCGTGATCACAACCCCTGACGTCACAGAGGGAGAGCCACTGCTCAGTGACATGGTCCCTAAATCAGAGAGCAGAGGAATGGTAACTGCAAGGCCGGCAGCTCAAAGGAGTGTCCGTAGCCTCCCTCTGAAGAGAACTTGGCAGGGCCCCTGGCAGGGCTCCCGGACAGCCCCCGGGTTCTCACCTGCGTGTGGCCTGTGTTCATCCGGCCGAGCCCGACATACTGGAGGACGGCCTTGGGGAACCAGTCTGGGGGGAGGCAGAAAGCAAAAGACAATTCGATTTTAACTCAAGAAGAGACTTGTGAAGAGTCAGTGGGGCCCTGGCCGGTTTGGCTCAGCGGTGAGAGCGTCCACCTGCGGTCCTGAGAGACCCGGGTTCGGTTCCCGCTAAGGGCACGTACCTCGGTTGCAGTTTGTCCCCGGCCCTGGTCGGTCGTGTGGGTGGCAACCACTCGATGTGTCCCTTTCACATCGATGTTTCTCTCTCTCTCTCTGTTCCTCTCTCTCCCTCCCGCTCTACCTGAACAAAAAAATGGGAAAATGTCCTCGGGTGAGGATAAAAAAAAAAAGAGGTCAGTGGGTTGTTCTGGTTTTTAGTTTTTACTTTTCTCATTGTAACGGCGAACAGTCACTGCTGGAAGTCTGGGACAAACACAGACGGTCGCAGGAAGAAAACACTGACGCCGTCATCGTTTTTCACGCAGCCCCGAGTCGTTTTTCCCAACACGCGTACACGTTAGCGTAGCAATAGTGTGGGCACGGCCACGTCAGCAGCCTCCTGCGGACGTCCCTCTTCTCGCCCTGTGGTTCTCCCACCCTGCCGTCTCCCTCCAGGGCCTGTGGAAGTCCAAGTTCAGCCCCGAGAACACAAGGAAGGAGCCTTTCTACAAGGCCGACGGGGAGTCGTGCTCAGCATCCATGATGTACCAGGAGGGCAGGTTCCGCTACCGGAGCGTGGCGGAGGGCACCCAGGTGCTGGAGCTGCCCTTCAAGGGGGACGACATCACCATGGTGCTCATCCTGCCCAAGCCCGAGAAGAGCCTGGCCAAGGTGGAGCAGGAGCTCACGGCGGAGGTGCTGGAGGAGTGGCTGGACTCGCTGACGGAGACGCTGCTGACGGTGCACATGCCCCACTTCCGCATCGAGGACAGCTTCAGCGTGAAGGAGATGCTGCAGGACATGGGCCTCCTGGACCTGTTCAGCCCGGACAAGTCCAAGCTCCCGGGTCAGTGCACACCCCGCCCCCGACGTGGTCAGGCCAAAGGTGGAAGAGTGGGAGGGAGAGTAGGAAAGAGCCATGACACTGGGTTCTGACCCCAGTTCTGCTGCTCACTCAGGGAACCCCCTTTCCGTCTCAGGGCCTCAGTTTCCTCTTCTGGAAAAGGGGTGTTAATGGGCCCAGCTGGCATGGAGCCTCGGGGTCTGTCACTGATAGAGATGAGACCAGGTGGAGAACCACTTGTAAAGGCATCAGAATTCACAGCAGAGAGACAGTTGTGATGAAGAGCTGGGGACATCTGGGTCCCACAAAATAGGCATGGCTGACATTTAGTAGCCTGTCACCTGCTATTCCAAAGGATTCATGAATTTTCCTCAAAGTCACTTGGATAGACACAGACAAACCTTTCAACTTACGCCATTAGGTCATTGGATTTACCTTTAATGGACTGTCTTTAAAGTAGGCCTGAAAGCCCAGCCGGTGTGGCTCACTGGTTGAGCGTCGACCCAGGCCCCGGGAGGTTGCCGGTTCGGGGCACCTGCCCAGGTTGTGAGCCTAATCCCCAGTGGGGGGGGGGGGCATGCAGGAGGCGGCCAGTCAGTGTTCTCTCTCATCCATGTTTCTATCTCTCTCTCCTTCTCCCTTCCTCTCTCTCTAAAACCAATAAAGAAAAAAATTTTTTTTTAAAGAATTAAAAAATATAAACTAGATCTGAAAACCAGTCCCTCTTAAAAATGTTGCTAGACTGGAAAGAAAGACATTCCTACCAGATGATGAATTTTTCCTTAAGAACAGGGTCCCCTGCCCGCCTCCCCCACCCAAGGGCTGAAGCCTAAGATTCAGCCCCAGGAGCCAGGCTGAAGAAGCCCCGCAGTCATTCCTGTTGACTGGTTTGAGGGCATCATCAGCTGAGGCTCCAGGGCTGCCTCCTACTCTTCAGAAATGCCCTGCGGGACCTCCCAGCACTGAACCCCTCTCTGGCTGAAGCCAGCCTTCACCACGCCTCAGAGCCTTCTCTGCTCTTCCTCGCAGGCATCGTCGCGGGGGGCCGGGACGACCTCTATGTCTCAGACGCCTACCATAAAGCATTTCTGGAAGTGAGTATCCCTCCATCTGCTCTCTCTTGTGCTGCTGTTTGACTTCCGCGCCGCACTCTGGCCCCTGCCTCAGTCTCTCCTGTGATCTGTGACTCTGGAGTCTCGTTTCACTGCTGCACGAACAGAGACCCCAGGGAAAAGCCGCCAACCCCCAAGCCGCAGCCCCTCCCGGGGGAGGCCAGCTACCACACAGCCCTGCCCTGAAGTCCGGGTCTAACGGTCCGCCCTCCCTCCCACGACTTCTCCCGTAGCAGGTCCAACAAGGACACAAACACGAAGGGGAGGAGCCAGCAAAGAGCTTCCATAAGGAGGCAGGGACAGAGACAACTGTCCCCGAGACAGTTTTCCGAAGGTGTCTCCCTCTAGACTGGTGGTGGTCCTATTACCAGCCAATTCGAATACCACTGTTTCACTCCATGACTCCAAGACTCATCTCCAGACAGGCATCCTTCTTTTCATGGGCCCTCGGTGGCTGCGGGGTCCTTAGACCTGGGACCCTGATGCTGCAGGAGTAAAACTGTCTCCACTGCACAGCTCTGATCTCGAGTCAGAACCTCTTTTAGCATCGAATACAACAGAACCCTCTCGTAATGCCATGTCAGATGGTGCCACCCAGGAACATGACGACCTCGGCTACATCCAGATTTCTGGTTCAGTGGTTGTCTAAATGGATCCATGGATCCGAATGCTTACAGCAATATTCGCTGGGTGGAGGAATGCGGACCGTGGGGCTCCGCAGGGAACCCGAGCTGACCCCAGGGCACCTCCCCCGAAGGCGGAGGGCACTCGGAGGAATGGCGGGTCTGCGTCAGAGCTAACGCAGCGGTTTGTTTCCTGTTTGCCCCGCAGGTGAACGAGGAAGGCAGTGAGGCAGCGGCCAGCACCGTTGGCGTGATAGCTGGCCGTTCGCTGAACCCCAACAGGGTGACCTTCAAGGCCAGCAGGCCCTTCCTGGTTCTTATCAGGGAAGCTGCTCTGAACACGATCATCTTCATGGGCAGAGTAGCCAACCCTTGTGTGAACTAAGGTGTTCTTGCTCCTTGCACCCCTTCCTCTTCTGGTTTGTGAACAGAGGTAAAAATAAATACGATTACTCCCACCTCACAGTATGAATGGACGTCGCCACCCGAAGCGAAGACAAGGACGGGAGACACTGACAGACATGCTGTTGGGCATTTGGTAAAATGATGCTGTTAACTGTTCTCTCCCAGTGCACACACCTGGGTCGGGAAAGTGAAGGCGGTGTCACTGTGCACACACCTGGGTCAGGAAGGTGACGGCGGTGTCACTGTGCACACACCTGGGTCAGGAAGGTGACGGCGGTGTCACTGTGCCACCCTGAAGGCCGGCAGGCATCCCGAGGGGCAGCGGGCTTGAGATCGTGGTATTATTCCCACTTCACTGAAAACAATCCCCAGATTTAAAACACATTAATCTCTTTATTCAGAAACGACAGACTCAAATCTGAGTATTAAACCATTTAATTCTCAAACCACTCACATGCATAATGTTCTTTTACACAGTGTTAAAATAAAGAGGAAAATGTATTTTTATACAAACAGAATTTCAAGTATACATTAATAGACTTTTCAGATTACTAACCAAGTTGCTAAAATTTCATTCACATTGTTCTTAAAGCTGTCCAACGAGAAAGCTTTTGCTAAGCTGCTTTAAATATGTTTATATAAACCCATATCTTCACTCTTTCTCTGAATCTCCCCCACCCCAGTCTCCGCCCCCCCTCCAGCCCTCCCCCCGCCCCGACTCAGGGCTCCTGGGCTCTAGAAGACATGCAACCCCACCGAGAACGACTGGCTTGTCATCAGGGGAAGGAGAGGACTACAGGAGGAGAGACTGAGGACACCTGTCAAGTTAAGGGCGAGAACAAATCTGCTTCTAAGAAATGACACAAATCAGACTCGTATCTTAAAGCCTTTGCTTTTTCACTTGACTTTCTAAAAAACAAACAAACAAAAACTCAGCTGCCCACACCACCACCCAGAAGTTTCTGACAGTTTGGTAGCTGAGAAAATAACTTAATATTGGGTATTTTCCCCAGTGAAACTTCTAAAATCAGAGTAGGCCTTTTGAACTTTTTCGTTTTGGTTGCTTCTTTTTCCCTTCGGTAGGGGTGGGGGCAGCTTAAAAACAGATGGTATTATTTGTGTTTCCACTGAGGAATTTGGTCATTTCACAGGGTCTGGCAAAAGAGTTCTCCGTCCTCAACTCCCCTCCTGAAGTAATCTGGCTTTAGGGCTAGGAACAGCCGCTCTCCTTAGGAATTAAAGTGCATTTTTTCGGTAAAAGGGGTGTGGGAGGGTGTGGTTTACACTTAAGTGATAATGATTAAAAGAGGGTGGGGAGAGAGGGAGTCCTATTCCTATATATAGGTATTTATAATTAAGGTCATAATAAAAACAGGTACTCTCTAAGGAAATAAGATGCACAGACCCAGCCAGCACCCTCCGAGGTGCCGGGCGCTAGCCTGGGGCACTGACTTCTGAGGCATCGCTGCCGCAGGGCTAGTTTTCTCAAAGGGAAAAAACAGACTGGTAGGTTCTTAGAGTTAAAAACTATCTCATTCCCTTTCAGGGATAACAACATTTTAGAAATTGATTGTCTGTTTTAATATGAATCCTTGATCAGCAAGTTGTGAAAAGTGTTAGGTCTAAGTTTGCTGCTTACAAATGTTATGGTCGCCTTTAAAAACTCCGGCAGAAGGGGCGCGTTGACCCGTGCTGTCACCAGCATCGGCGGAGGGAAGTGGAACTTCCCTGTAATCTCTGTTTCACAGCTAACAGACTATTTCCTGTAAATGACTTACTGTTTCTTGAGGGACAATCCCAAGTTTTCCAAAGAGAAGTAAATGCTACATTATTAGCTGTACAAAGAAGTGATGGGCTCAAGACAGGGGAAATTGTCCTGGATCCTGGCCTCTGAGTCCAGTGTGATCTGCTTTTCACAGTGACCAGGAGGAAGGCACAGTGCCAGGGACAGGTGGATGGGGACAGCGTCACCCACCCGGTAAGCACCATAGAGAGCAGTTGGCAGGGTTCTTTCAGACCACGTCCATCTGAAGGGAACCGTCTGGGCGGCGGGACCCCAGCCCCTCCTCCGAGGCCGAGCGGGAGGGGCCCCACCCTGAAACCGGGGCAGCCAGCAAATCCGAGCGCACGTCAGCGGACTTCTCCCTTTCCCCACGCACGCCGCACGCGCCGCGCCCAGACCGGAGTGGACTTTCAGATTTCTGCAAGGAGAAGCCACTGGGTCCTGACTGAACTGGCAGATCTCTCCAAGGTCCGCCAGGAGATCACAGACAAATGCAACGGCTAGACCTGTGCACACAGACGGAGCAGTGGAAAGGGAATGGGCTGGGGCAGAACACACTGCTTTTGCCTCTAGTTCGGGAATGTTTTTCTCCTGCTGAGAGGAGGGGGTGGGGCAGGGTGGGAACTGCAGTCAGACTAGCACCTGGTTAGCTGCTTCCAAAAGGATTTCTTAGAGGTTTCGGTGGAACCAACAAGCAGACCCAGGAGGGCAGAACTTGACCGAACTTCACAGTCCTGACAGGGGATGTTTCAGTCCTTGCTTAAAATATAGCACGTTTATATCGTTATTTATTTATTTATTTTACCATCACTTCCCCATCCTCCTCCTCTACTCTCTCCCCCAAATCTTAAAATCCAGTGCGGCATGATTTGCATAAAGTTCCACCACGTTTCACAGTACTCCACAAGGCTCTTCACACGAGAACCCACGGGCACCTCTCCGATACACACAGTCCCAAGGGGAGGGCTGTCCACTCCCACCCCGCTGAGGAAGCCGGCACAGTCTTCCAAGGCATAGGAGCATTTTCTCTAAGTGACATTACAGCACGCACATGCTCAGCGAACAGCCAGGCCTTCAGGTTACTCTGATGACATTTCATAGCCTGATGCCCATTTGGTCCTCTGCACTAACCAACCTTTCCCTTTCGGCCCACTTCTCAAACATACCACTTACTTGAAATGTAAATGATCAGTGATTTGTAGGCAGTACATGAATGAATTCCTACGGTGCCCAAAATTGTTTCAGGAGAGAGTCTGCATCTGAATCAGCTCTGAAACACAAATTTCTTTAGTGAATTAGAGATCACTGGGTAGCCTGTTGGTTTGAACAGTGGCTTTCACTTTTTATGGGAAATCAAACAGTTCTCCCCTCCCCATTACCAGGTGTGAGGTATCTTTATACCTGGGTGGGAAGAAGGAGAGATATGGAACCTAATTTGGGAATTACTGGGTTAAGTCTTTGATATCCTGGAACAAAGATGCTAAAACAACTCATTTCACATTTCATATAAAATTCAGAAACATTTAAGCCTTAGCTAGTGCATTTCATTCACAAAGAAATATGGACAAATGAAAAGTCACCTCACACTGAGATCCCACGTAGAGGACAGCTAACAGACAAATAAGCGAACGTGTTACCGTCACCCCGGGAAGGAGCCTTTTCCTTCCATTCACTTCAACAATGCTTCTTGTTTATTTCACAGACAGGAGTCCCCCTAGGTGGCACGGGCTTGGCTCTTTTAATAAGTTCAAGGGTTTTACCTTAGCTAGCAGAGTTGAGAAACTGCCACTCAAATCATCTGTGCAAAGCAGAGCGGATTCCAGAGGCCAGACTTTGTACCTGGTATGAAGGAAACTGGATGGGTGGCAATCTCTCCAGAATTACTCTGCGGACACATGGGCCATGCATTTCACCGCCCGGCCTTGGCCCACAGTGAGCTTTGAACTCAGAGCTATGCCTGGGTAGCAACAGAGGAGGCCGACAAGAAAAAGAACCAGACTGAGGTTCTCCTGGTAAAGACCACTCAGCTGCACTGAGACAGGGTTCTCAACCTCGGCTGCCCATTAGAATGATCTAGGGAGCTTTTAAGCACGGGCTCTACAGCAGGCCAATTAAACGTCCACGTCAGGAGGGAGCCCGGGTGTCAGCCACTGTTTAAATGCCCACATGACGACGAAGTGCAGCCTGGATGGGGATCTCCAGGTCAGCGGCTCTGCGACAGAAAGCATTCAGGCCAGTGGTCACCCAAGTCAGCAGGAAGAAAGGTAAGACGACTCCATGCTCCCTCCCGGCTCACAGGTTTAACATGCCTCAGAAACAAGATCTAGGCGTTTCTCACTTTTGTGTTTGTTCTGTTTTTAAATAAATCACTTTAGCTATAACAGGCTGCACCACTAACAGTTAGCGACTGGAGGTGAGACTGCCCCTTAGGCATGTGGCCTAGCAAACCAGCTGGGGTCAGCCCAGGACAGACTCTGCGCACAAACAAAAGAGAAGCCGCAAGGAAGAATGTTCCTAAGCAGGAGTTAATTCTTGAGTCCAGGATGTGAGCATGGCTTATAGGCTGACAATTATTCTCCATGTAGGGGAAAATAGCTGTGGCGAGCAGATTCACACTGACTTCACTCCTCATCTCCCCACAGGGTCACACTGTGTCCAGGCAGAGGTTACTTCTGTACCAGTTGTCACCTGTGAGTAACGCTTGCCTCATTATTTGGAATTTCACCGTCGGCATCATCGCTCGCCCTACCCAGTGACCGGGTAGTAAATGCCGATTAGCTAGTACCTAAAACACAGAAGCCGTCCTCTAAAAACCTAAAAGTGGATCCCTCTCTCATTTTCCCCCGACCAGACATTACGACCAGCTAGTGCATTAGACAGCAGAGGCGGAAAGCATGCCAGGGTACCTATTAAAGGGCCAGTGCTCCTTCCCCCGCTGTAACAGATGTTCAAAGGGGAGGTGACCTGACTTGGCTCAGTGTACTGGTGCCTCGAACAGCCAGTCAGTTAAGTGCTGCAACTGGATTTCAAGGTTAGGTGGCCTGCCTAGTGGCATTCTACTACTGAAATGACATTTCTTGAGACCCACAGCATTCGAGCGAGGCCATCCTGACTATTATAACAGCGTCGATGTAACAACAGGAGTAGCCAGCTCCCTTCGGAGTGATAAAGAGCAGAACCGGCTGTCCAGAAATCCGTGCCATGCACACCTCAGCGTCAAGACATTGGCAGAGGGCTCATGATCGGGAAAATATGGTTTTTATCCTTTCCCCCCAAAATGGACT